GACAGAAGCAAGCTGAAGCCCTGCTGAAAATACCTATTTTGTCCCAGTAATAAAAAGGCTTGAAAAGTTAAATGTCAGTTGCTGTCTAGTACATTAATTCCATAGTGGAATGTGAAGTACCAGGGCCATGCTGGTGCTTAAGGCCAGTTCTGACAAGCTCAGTGGGGTAATGTCAGATGAGATTGCTGTGATGAGTGGTGTGAAACCTCTGCTGAGCCCTCTGCCTCTGCTTGGGAGACACATTTAAGCTGAGACATTTGCCCTTGGTCCTTGACTGAGCTACTCTAGAACTATACCTCTGCCAGGCCTCATGTCACTCAGCTGAACCCTGCCCATAACTAACTTATCTGACCCTGGGGCTTGATCTCAGACCTGCTTCATCCCTACTGACTCCCTGGGTGATCACCGAGGTGCTGGCCCACCCTGACCCTGGACTGTCACTGGACTAGTCCTGCCCCAGCTGGACTTTCTGGCCTCGATCTTGGGACCTACCTCATTCCCACAGACTTGCCAACTGGTTACCCTCAATGGACCTACTCTGCTCTTGCTTGGGTACTGGGGGACTGCACACCTCGTGGTGAGGTCTCTACCCCTGCCTGCCTTGCTGTCACCTGCAGCTCCTGGTTTGTCTTCTCTTACAGAGTAACCTGCCTGTGCTGCCCCCTGGCATAAAACTTGGATATTAGCCTGGGAAAAGTATTAACTATTATCCAGATCCAATCTAATGGGAAGGTAATATAGAAATCAACATTAGTATCAAGTTAGTCTATCATAATACAACAACATGAATGAAAAATCAAGCCCATTTCATTTCACATCCTCTTTAAGCGTTTTACATGCTGTCCAGCATTCCTTCTCTGTCTCCCTTGTCGGTAATGCTTACTCTACTCAAATACTGAAACAAGACCTGTGCACGTTACTCTAAATTATTAACTCAACCTGACCTTACAGCATGGATCCCACCACCACTCTGATCGCTTACCTGAAATACCTCTGAAAGCTGATTCTTAGGCTTCTAGGTTACCTGCACTGGTTTGAAAGTGTTTTTCCCAAACCTGATTCCTATTTACATTAGTGCTTCCCACAGAGTAAAGCTGAGCAGAGTTTGACTGAATTAGGTTAAGAAAAAACCCACCAGCATTAAATCTGAATGCCACCGCTTTTAAATTTTAGACAAGAACTCTAATGCAACCCTAATGCAGCTTCCTACATTTCCTTTGTGTTTCTTTCCCAGCACCTCGGCCTCAGTAATTGCAGAGTTTCTAAACTTTCCCTCTGATTATTATTCAATTAAATTATTTATGTACATTATAAATGGTCAGAGGAATTCTGGAAACTATGACAAGTGTTCCAGATCTGAGCATCTATCATTGCCAACACAAAGGACTTCTAAAACAAATTTGAAAGTGTGCTACTCTGTCAAAGTGTGGCTTGTTCTTTGAATATATGTGTTTATATATAGATACTAGATATTTTCACTGAGATACAGCTGCCAAATTACAGCTTCTTTAGTTTTAAATGTCAAAACACTCACGTTTTTCTGTGTTCCTCTGAGCAAGAAAGGGAAAAAGAAAAAAAAAAAAGTAAAGAAAAAAGAAAAACCTGTTCTAATTCAAAGAAAAATTGCTGCCGTCAAGATGAATTTCAAGTAATCTTACAAGTGACTTGTATTTGATGATGTTCATACATTTTTCATTCTTAATTTTAATAATGGATATTTCTGAAGAAGAACTAAAAGCAAAGTTGCTCATAGAACACAGTTATTATGGGTGGTGCTGATATTGTTTCTACCTCGTAAGCTCACGCTGGTTTCCCTCCAGCAGTTCAGGTACTGGTTAGCTGTTTCTACAGACATCAGGCACCAAGTAAGCCCTGAGCTGGTTAGTTTATGCCAGTGTCCATAAGTAGCTGGCAGGAATATCATTACGTCTATTAATGGGCATCATTACACTGCAATTCAGTTACAGCAAGACTACAGCTTAGCTGTTCCCTGAACCCTACTTGAGGGAAACCCCATTACCAAGCCCTTATCCTCATTTCATTGGCTTCAGCACAGCAAGTGTGGGAAATGATCAAGATGCAGAAGAACTCAACAATCACTTGGTGCACTGTCAAGAATGAGTTAGCAAGGCCCAAGTGTATTTCCAATAAGCAAGTACGTGCCTGCATCCTAATAAGGGCTAACTGGAATTTATTTGGTGGTACACCCCAGCAAAGGAGACTGGAGCAAGTCTGAAGACTACATTCATGACCTTTACACTTGCAAAGCAGAGCTCTGTGCAGTGCACTGGTCTTGCCAGAGCAGGCTGGCAGACAGAGTCAGCTCTAAGTTTGTTAGTCCTTTACTGTTCATCAGCAATTAATCCAGTGTTATAAAAAATGAGCTTTCAATCTCCAGAAATACAGTAGTCAATTGATTACCAAAAATCCAATTGTGAATGGTCCATCCCCCAGTTTAGGGCTCTAAGGTCTTTCAACTTGTGTACTGACAGAAGAGCTTTGTTACTGCTATTGGTCCAAATAAAGCATTATGGTGGACTCATGGACAAACTCCAGAGGTTCTCATCTCCTCTTACCTTCTCAGCTGGCCTTGTGTTCAGTGAGATCAGTGCAAGGATGAATTAGGACTACATATACAAGACTTCAGCAAACCAGGACTCCTGACACACCCTGACAAGTCAAACCTGGTGGGCAGCTCTACAGGGAGAACTCTCCATACAAAAAAGGTGAGAAAGATATTATTAGTGTGAGAGAAGAGCTGTAGGACTGCTCATCTCATCCATAGTGCTCCATAACAAAGAGTTTAAATAATGCAATGAAAATTACTTTTTGCTTCTAGAATCACACTTGCATTTAGTAAGGAGGCCATTCTGAAAGGGACAGTCCTACACTAAACTACTAACCATGTGGAACAAAACAGGGGTATTCTCTGCCATGGGCTGCTTTCCAGTAACTGACTGCTGAGGCTGCAGTCTCTCCAGCTGCTCCTGGAATCTGTGTCTCCTGCGTCTCTCTTTCATCTGTTCTTCCTTTTGGAATAGCTCTTTTTTACTTTCTTCTGTCCTGAAAAATATACAGATTCTGCTTTGCTTAAGCTTTTCACTTGGGAGGAAAAAGCACTCTTATTCATCTGTTTGCATTTCCTTTTTCTTATATTTATACCACATACTTGAGGGTGAATCATGACATGACAGGCTAAAACAGATTTAGAAAGTGCTTACGGTGTTTGGGGTGGGGGGGGGGGGGGAACAAC